GAGAGCAAGTAGATTACGAAGGATTTCACGTTCTACTTTAGTTACGATAGGTTTTGGGAAACACTCATAAATTAACGATCGATTTTAAGAGCAAGTTTACGATGTTCTTAGCGCTACAATGCTTTTGGGAAACTCACCCCAGCTCTACAATAGCTCATCATTGTCTTATTTGCACCAATTTAACAAATTTAAGTGCTGGCCCAATAAAAGTGACATACTGTATAGTACAGTAGTAACACCTGCAGACACAGCTGAGGCAGTGTGTCTCAGCTGCCATAGCCATATCACCCTGCAACTCGCAACTGGCAGCCCACTGAAGTTAAGCAGGTGTGGGCCTGGTCAGTACCTGGATGGGAGACCTCCTGGGAAAAACTAAGGTTGCTGCTGTTAGTGGGGCCTGCAGGGGGTGCTCACCCTGTGGTCCCTGTGGGTCCTAATGCCCTAGTATAGTGATGGGAACACTATACTGTAAACAGGCACTATCCTTTTGATGAGATGTAAAACCGAGGTCCTGACTCTCTGTGGTCATTCAAAATCCCAGGGCGTTTCTCGAAAAGAGTAGGGGTGTAACCCTGGTGTCCTGGCCAAATTTATCATTGGCCCTTACCAATCATGGTCTCCTAATAATCCCCCTCTATGAATTGGCTTCATTACTCTGCTCTCCTCCCCACTGATAACTGATGTGTGATGAGTGTTCTGGCACACTATGGCTGCTGTCGCATCATCCAGGTGGATGCTGCACATTGGTGTTGGTGGAGGGGAGCCCCCATTACCTGTAAAGTGCTCTTAGTTGATTGTCCAGAAAAGCACTATATAAGTGTAAACAATTATTATTATTATAATTATATTAACAGGTTAAATGGCTTCTGGGTAAATAAAGTCCTAAACATTTTTTCGCATTGCGTTGTTATGTTTTTTTTTTTTGCTGGGTGTTCCAACTTTTTACCAACTTTTACAATCTATTGTCCTTTTTGGATTGTCCTTTTTGTTTTCCATGTAGGCTCTGGGTTGCTGCAAACTTCACACCTAGAAACCCTTTTCTTATGAAGGATGGGTCAAAGTTTTTATTTAATCTGGGCCTAATAACACCGAATTTGTGTACCGCTGAGGATTGTGTGACAGTTATTTGTCATCTATCTGAAACAAGCTTGTTATTCCTGTAGTGAGGAAACAATGTTAATTTTTCTGTTTCAGCTGCAGTATCAACCTTTCTCCTGTCCAGCTGCAGCTCCTACAGTACATGACAGAGTGTCTTCAGGACACACTGCTCACTATCCCTTTAGGCCTCTTTCTCAAGGTGACTATCAGCATGGCTCTTCTGACCATCTCAGCTCTACTCTGCCTGGCATTCAGTCTCAGTGGAGTGAAGGGTAATACTTACTGTATGACTCAATCTTGTCCCAGAGGAAAGAATAGTATCACCACCAGTAATAAAAAACGAAATGCCCTCAGCACAGCTGAAGGTGCTTAATTGTACCATCTTAGTTTATTATACAATATGTGCAATGACAATTTAGTGTACTGTAAATATGATTCCAATTCACAGAAGTTATTTTTCTCTGAAGAGAAGGAGAACTACTCTATTTTAGGCAAAGTTAAAGTATATTAAGTCAATAGCTAGGAAATGTAAAAGCATTGGAATGAAACATCAATTTATATACTTATGACAAATAAGGAGTAAAACAGAATAATTAATATTTAACTTTTTAATTACAGAATTACCACCTAATGTAAAAGATATACCAAGAATAGGCCTGAGCAGTTGGTGTAATTTTTTAAGTGCCTGATCTTTTCATTCTGTGAAACAGCTCTGGAGGAAGAGTAATAAATCAGAGGCAAGCAAATAAGCAAATATTTATTAATACTGTCTATAACACATAGATAAACCAGCAGTATACAGCATCATTCTGCAACTTACAACTTGCAACCCACTGAAAGCTAAGCGGGAGTGAGTCTCTCTAGTACCTGGATGGGAAACCTCCTGGGAAAGTGAAGGTTGCTGGTGGAAGAGGTGTTTGGGGACAGTAGGAAGTTGTCTGTGTGTGTCCTGATGCTCCACTATAGTGATGGAAACACTATACTGTAAAAAAGACATCTGTGGGTAAGATGTAAAACCCAGATCCTCAATTTTGTTGAGTTAATTTCAAATAGCGTTAACATATTGTATGCCATTCAAACAGCATAAGAACACAATTTATAAGTCTGCTTTCTGGGAAATGTTAAGTTTTGCTTTAGATTCCGCATGTACCCAGGGTGTTTTTTCAAAAAGAGTAAGGGTGTTAACCCAGATATCCTGGCCAAATTTCTTCCTGGCCTTTAGCAATCATGTCCTCCTAATAATCACCATCTATGAATTGGCTTCATTACTCTTTTTCCCTCCCCACTGAAAGTTGATGTGTAGTGAGTGTACTGGCACAATTTGCCTGATGGAGGTGAGTCCCCTTTTCCTATTAGCTCTATGAATGTAGTGTCCAAAACTAGAACTGCAGTAAATAGCTGGCACTCAGACTATTCTACTAGACTACTAAAATCAGACTATTTATAGATTAAGGAGAGGTTTATAGGTGTCCACAGCTACCACTAAAGTTTTTTTTCCTTTGTCTGGCTGATTGCCAATCAAGTGAAGATAAAATAAACCGTTATCTGACTGTTATCAGTTTGGCTGCAACAGCTAGCTTTTTACAGCCTAGTACACTATAAATAGTCTGCCTCTAACTCAATAATAATAATGATATTCATTGTTTTCATAATTCATTCCTAATTTTATGTTTTATTTAAGCTAAGAAAACCACTTTAGGACTTGGCTTTCAAGTAATTGATGCAGAATGTTTTGTCTTTGATCTATTTCTTTCATATTTAGACAAAGTAGTAGTTATAATAGAGAAGCACTAGAAAAAAAGTATTGATTCCCACATGTGATACAACATGAAAGATTTGACTTTTGAAGAAAGAAAATGAAATATGTTTCTTGCTTTCTTTTTCTTTTGGATATTTCTTTCTTGTGTGTGTACTAACTACGAAATAAAAAGCCAGGCCTGTGTTGTCTATACTTTCCAAGATAATGCGAGATGTTTAAGGGAACATCAATTCAAGACGGAAATGTCCTTTTAAGGGATGGGTGTCTAATTAATTCCCAAATATTTGTAGAACACACAGCAAAAACTGGAAATGAACTGTCATCCTCGGTCAGATGTAATGCTGGAAGGGAAGCCATGGATCTGGAAAATTTCCATTGCAAAAATATCCACCATGTGAGGAAGGGAAGGCAACTTCAGCAGAGAGCCAAAATGGGCAACCTTTTGGCTCTCTGCTGAAAGGTTGAGGTTGTTGACCACAACCAATATTACTGAACAGCCAGTGTTAAGAGCAAGGGAGAACATCTATGTCAGCAGATTTAATCACTGACCACAGGCGTTGGAATTGGTAGTGGTTGAAGGAGACTGGTAGGGAGTGATTGGGTATTATTAGTAAAGTTGGAGATAGAATAGGCTGCCACAAACCCATCAATATTGCTCCTCATATTGGGCCACCATAAATAACCAGAAATGTATGAGTTCTGTGGTTTGTTGTATGCCAAGATGGCCCTTGACCTTAGATTTATGACTCTAATCCAATACCTCCATTCTGCCAGAAAAAGTAGTAGTTAGTAGTTCCAATGATGCAGGTGAGTGATTCATCTAGGTCATGGATCCTGAGAAGGGTGTCAGCCTTACCATTCTTAGTTGAAGCAAGAGAAGAACAAGGTCCTTCTTGCCTGTCTGGGGTTAAGCAATTTAGCTTTCTTACTTTAGATCAGTGAATACTAAGCTGTCAACACACCACACCAGCTTCACAGACACCATCTCCTGATTGCCAATATTGTAATGTCATTCCACTGCCAAAAGTGTTTGGAGAATTAGGTGGGTTGGGATCCATTAGAAGATGCTTCAGAGTGATATGGTAGCCCAGAATGGTGACCTCATGAACATGAAATTTGCAGGTTTCTAATTTTGTGAATAGTTTATGCTGGCCAAGCTGTGAAAGAATCTGCCTGACATGTTAGATATGTTTTTTGAGAGAACTGGAGATGACCATCTCTTTTCTAGGAAATCTTGAAAAATGTCATTCTACTGGACAAAGAAGAATCCCACTCTGTCAGGCGACGAGGACAGTCGAATGAACCCCTTTTGCAGATTCTCCTCAATGTATTTTTTCATGGCTTGTGCCTCCAAGGGGGAGAGAGAAAATAAATGATCTTTGTGGGATGAGGTTCCTGACAGTCGATCGATAGGGCAATTGCAAGGCCCACAAGGAGGCCAACAACCTGTTCTTGCTGAACCCATTAGTGAATTCTGGATACTCATGTGACAGTCGATTGGTTGAGATATTGGATGCTGCTATCCAATGTGCAATGGTAATGTAACACAGGGCTCCAGGCTGTTCTCTGAGAGACCAGGTGAACTGTGGATTATGAAGTATTCAACTTCAGCTTCAGGGAAAGCCAGGACTAAAGGACAAAGCAGAGAGGAGAAGAAAAGGAAAAGAAAAGAAAAGCTGTGGCAATTATTTGTGGTGACAGTAAGGCAAAGGGAAGTGGTATGCCCCTCAATAACCCCAGAACAGATTGGCCATCCAACCAGAGCTTGGACACGATTCCAGAGGAATTCCCAAACAATTATCCAGGCCAGTATCAGTAAAGTTGGGTGTTGTTTTAAAGTTTTGTAAGCATATTTATAAGATTGTTTTCTTTTTTCAATACAGTAAAATCACTCTTGCTATTACTGAAACTCTCAAAGATCATCATATTAAACAGTAACTTGATAAGACAGGTCTTGGACTTATAAAAAAGTTTTCAACAAGTCAAAGTGGGAAAGTGGTTATCTGATATATGCTATACTTCCAGGTGTGTGTCTTGTCCCCCCCCCCCCCATTGTACATTCTGTACAATAATGATCGTATGAGCAAGCAGACCTTGTACCCAAAGGTGATAAAGCAACTGAAAATGACCAACACCGGGGTTATATAGCTCAAGGTATCAGATTTACATTTTCCTTTGCTGGAGAATTTACACCTGGACATTTCTTCTTCTTTCTTTCTTCTTAAAGGTAAATCTCAAATATTTATGTTCTGTAGTTTTGTTGAATTCAGGGACAGAATTTTATACTCCTTTCAAACTGCAGGTTGAACAGTGCTGTGTTGCTCAGTGTAACAGTTTTGGCTGATTTACCATCAACAGGGCTGAAAGGTATAGGTTTTACAAGTATCTGATTTATTGATGTTGTTTATTTATTATTTACTCTTCTCTTGTTTAGTTGTTAAAATAAAGAGCTTGAGCTTAACAACAGTCATTTTAGATGAAGGAAGAGCTGAGGCAACTGCTGTTAATTTCAGCAGACTTGAAAAAGGAGGTACCACTGATTCCCCTTAATTCTTTACATTTTCTTCTCAATATTGTTTATTGCTGTTCACTGAGATACTTGCTATTGCAGAAACGTAAAAAAGGTTTCTAGTAAACAAAAAAAGGAGATCAATTGCTCCATTATAAAATGTAGCACTTTTCTGAGGTCTTTCATAAATTTCACCTATTTGGTAATTGTAATTTTATTATTTCGGATTTAAAAATAACAAGTTATTCATCTTAGTTTGATAAAGCACATACTATTTTTTTGTTTTTAACATTTTTTCATTCTTTTTGGTCATGAAATTGGGGACTAATCCTTAGGAACTGCAATCCAACATGCTTTACAAGGCCTTTAATTTATCCCCAAGTTTTTCCATGGTTCATTGAGTGAAATACTGTAGATTAAAGGTGGAATGAGAACCAGAAGACCAATAGTACTGATCGTTTTCTTTTAGTACCAACCTGGAGTTGGAGGTATAATTCGGCATTTGTTCTTATTATTCTGTTAGTTACCTCCTTAAAAAGAAACAGATAATTCAGGCAGACCATCAAGTTTCCATTTTGGCAAGTTCCTGTTGCTCCCTTTTCTAAGTGGTGAAATATATTTCCAGGACCCACGATGTCATGGTTCTGCTGTACAAAAGTTTTCAGTTGCAAGAACTGCTGTAACTGTAATTGTGGTAAGTAAAAACAAACTTTCATCACATGCAGACAAATCATTAAATACTAAACAGTCTTCTGACAGTTACTCGTATGTTTGTGAATCTCGTGAATAAAATAATTGAAACCGATTAAATGCCATCTATTCAAAGAAAATGTAAGAGGTTGACATGACATGACATGACATGACAAGACATCAGGTTGCCACTTGAAACGGCTGTGGAGCTGGACTCAAATAACATTTGTAATTTGCTATCCTTATAACATTTTTTTTCACATGCTGTAAAGCACTTTGCTTTATGTAAAAGTGAATGTGCACTACAGTATGTGTGAATGAACCATGCTAGCAGCAGCAAAGAATGTGCACAAACCTGAAAACCAAATCATCTTTAATATCATTTTATCTGTCTCACTGAGCATGAAAACCCACAATATTCTCCAGTGCTTTGCCAAAAATTCAAAATTTGAAAAAATCTTGAAATAGGGAAGTGATGACAAGCATTTACGAGCAGCTAAAAAGGATTAGTTTACTTAATAGGCTTTAATAAATACGAAAAGACTCTTTGCCTCTTCTAATAACCATCCTTATTGTTGTTTCATAGTCATTAGCAACTATATGAGTTAAGGAAGTTATGGATTTTTGGAAGGAAGTACACACACGGTATGAGCACACAGGGACAATTAAGATCAACATAGGAAACTTAATTTAGACAAACCCAGCCACTATCTTTTTGGAAAGGGAATGCACCAAGACAAAACCTCCACAATTCTGAGAACATGCTGAACACATAAGGCATCCATGTCTTTTAACTAATTTTATGCTGTTTTCATATATATCATTTAAAACCTTTATCATTACACAGCTGATAAGGACATTTCAGCAGAGACAATCAGATTATGTGGCAACGGATCAGATATTCCAGGTAAGCAAATTCTTAATTCTAAATGCAAATTTAGTACACAAGATTGTACACAATCATACGTTAGAGAAAGTGTGCTGCATGCTTGTGTTCCAGGTGCAGTGATGTGAGGGTTTTAATTTATTGTAACAGTTAGGAACAATTGGAACAGTAAATTATGAGTGTGCTTTGATGACTGTTTGGAATTGCACACAATAATTAACTGTTTCACACACATGAAAATATACAGGATACGATTTATTGATACAACACCAAACAACATGCGCAACAAACCAAACAGAGTAATACAGTTTATTGTAAATCAATCTGTTGTGATACACTAAGTTGATATTTCACTCAGGCATTACAAGGATAAGAGTTAGTAACTTCAGAGTTAAAAATATATTGACTTTAACATGTGATACTATATGATGTACATCTACCTTGTAAGGCATATACAGTATTTAGATAACATTTATATTCTCACATACAGGGCCAATTAAGAAGCCAATTAGCCCACTATTTTTTCAGAAGGGGGAAGCCCACACAAAAACAATAAGAACATGTAAATTCTACATAGAAGGCACCTACGTCAAACATTCATAACATAATAATAAGATCAAATTAAAGCTGACAAGCACTTTCAATTCTGCTGTTTTCATATACAGTATATTCATACCATTTTTTAATTATTATACAGCTGACGAAGAAACACCAGAGATTATAACAAAAAAAATCAGTGTGAAAGAAAACAGTTCAGATCTTCTAGGTAAGCAAATTCTTTATTTTAAATACATTCAGATTCACTGCACCAGGCTATAGGCAAGCATATACAGTACTAGAGAACGTGGGCTACATGCATGTGTTACTTGTGTAGAGATGAGGGTTTTTTTAAATGGAATTCACACCCAATCCATCATTAAGGAATAATAAGATTAAGAGAAAAAAACAAACAAAAAAAACAACATGAAAAGAAACAGTACCAAATAAACCTGGCAAACACTTATTCTATGTCAGTGCTAACCCTCCTGGTCAGCCATTTAGGAAGCATTTACAGGGGGCATAAAATTTGCGGTAGGAATTTCATCTTACTTAAATGTATTCAGCCAAAAAAAGAAAAACCAGGAGGTATGCCAAATGTTTTTTAACATTTAAAACTATTGGGGGAAAGTTTAGTTTCCACAATTCCCTGAGGTTTGGTGAGACATTTACAGTACCTCGAATCAGATTTAGATCATTTACTGTAAATGGGAAATTCGAAAGGGACTCTGTGTCCTTCAAGCCACCTAAAGGCAAGGCCTCAAATTTACTGTAATTAATTTTATACAGATGCAGCCATTCAAAATGGGTGAGGTATTTCGCGGCATACCCCGGTGGGCGTGTCGCAGTATCACGCGGTATCACGCAGTTAACGTGGTGTCACGTGGTTAACTATCCGACGTCGCCTTGTAAAACCGCCA